CGTGGGTAACGGGCACCGTGTGGGGACCCACTTGGATGAGTCCAGCCGCAATGCTGTCCATGGGATCGCCGCCCGGCAGGGCACTGGGCAGCCCCAGGGCGGAGGCGCTGATGGGGATGGCTTGGACGCAATATCTGGACTGCGGCGAGTCCTTGGCCCCGCTATCGTTGCCATTGGAGTCCATAGATGGTTTCGGATCGGACACACAGTCCTCCTCCGCATTGCCGTTTGTATCCGACGGTCCCTTGGCATCCACCCCCGCCACTGCATCTCCAGTGTCCTTGGAGTCCGCTCCTTCGTCCTCCGCCTTCACATGCTGGCTAAAACCAGCGGGGGCGACACTCTCCTTTAAATCCTTGAGTTCCCTGTGCGGAAAAATACGCACAGCCACCTGTATCGGTATTTCCATGGTTGATGCTTCTGTTCTGGTTTGGGAGGGGTTTCTTCATTCGGCCTCCTGCGCTTTGGTGCGCATTTTTGCGCTTTTAAATACTTGCAAATATCAGCTCCGAATCGATACAGTGTGATGGTGTGACCATAGCTAGAGCGCGAGAACATACCGAAAATATTTACTGAGGAGCAAGTTAAACAAAGAAATACCAGATTCCATTAAGGCTATTAATCAGATCGACAAATCCGTTCGTATGCTGTGGGAGAGAGCGAGAGGCAAATAACTGGCGGACACTTTTCGTCTCGTCGTTTATTTACACGTCAATAAAGTGATTAATAACGCTAAGCCAGATACAATTTTGAGAAAGGAAAGTAAAACTGTTTTCCGCAGATAATAATTTATACATAGCTGTTGCCAAATTAGTGAGCCAAGAGTTTTATTTAAATTGGCCTACTGAAAATAGACAAGATATCTCCACTTTTGGATATTTTAGAAAATTCGTTCAGTATAAGCCCAGCTTCACTTTTGTAGATGAGGTTGTGGCCACCACTCCATTATTTTCTGATTTTTTTTTTCATAGCTGTCAGAGAGGTTTCTTGTAAGTCGGCCTGTTTCTCGCCTCATAGTTGAATAAGAGTCGTATACCTTTCGAGCATTAAAATACTACTGATTTGGATTTAAAATATATGTGGGGTCGAAAAGGCTATCAAGTTTTTTAACGAATACAACATACCTGTACGAATAACGGATTTACAAATGTATATATTTGAAAACTAACGCGCCCAAACTTACCCATTATCAAAGTTTCGCTCCTGGTAAGAGTCTTTGCTAACTTGGTATGTGAAGGTTTTAAAGCAGTATATTCCAAATGTAAAATTTGGTATATTTACATCTAAGGGTCGGTATGTGTTAAAGGTCACACTGAGCGCGTGTTTTTTTTTTGTGCAAAACGCTTCGTTTCGAGAATTTAATCTAGCAAACCAGCAGAAATCAGCATGTCCAAGCGTCGAATCGAAGTGGGGGAGACCTACGGCAGCAAGGCGAAGAAGTGAGTGCAAAAGACCCTTCAGGCAGAAGCAATCTAACCCAGGTTTTCCCCCAGGGAGTCGGAGGCGTCGTCCTCATCGTCTGCGGCCGGCACGGTGGCCCAGATCCTGGGCGGATTCGTGCCCAACAAGCAGCCGCCCACGATGAACACGCTGACCAACAAGCCGTACTCGCAGCGGTACCAGAATCTCTACAAGAAGCGGATCGCTCTGCCCGTGTTCGAGTACCAGGCGGACTTCATGCGGCTGCTCAGCCAGCACCAGTGCATCGTGCTGGTGGGCGAGACGGGCTCCGGCAAGACGACCCAGATCCCGCAGTGGTGCGTCGACTTCGCGGTGTCCAAGGGCCGCAAGGGTGTCTCCTGCACACAGCCGCGTCGAGTGGCCGCCATGTCCGTGGCCCAGCGCGTCTCCGAGGAGATGGACGTGAACCTGGGCGAGGAGGTGGGCTACTCCATCCGTTTCGAGGACTGCTCCTCGGCCAAGACTCTGCTCAAGTACATGACCGACGGTATGCTGCTGCGCGAGGCCATGTCCGATCCCATGCTGGAGCAGTACCAGGTCATCCTGCTCGACGAGGCCCACGAGCGCACCCTGGCCACCGACATCCTGATGGGCGTGCTCAAGGAGGTCATCCGGCAGCGCAACGACCTCAAGCTGGTGGTCATGTCCGCCACCCTGGACGCCGGCAAGTTTCAGCAGTATTTCGACAACGCTCCTCTCATGAACGTGCCCGGTCGCACGCATCCCGTGGAGATCTTCTACACCCCGGAGCCCGAAAGGGACTACCTGGAGGCCGCCATTCGCACGGTCATTCAGATACACATGTGCGAAGAGATTGAGGGTAAGTGCAACATTGAACGCGTTATTAAAGAAGAACAACCTTGTTGTATAGTAAAGCTTTTAGCATTTCCATCTCCCACTCCCTCTACGAAGGTTTATAATCACACCTAATCCATATAAAGATTTAAGCTAAAATTCAAGAATTTAGTGTAGACCGTAAGTTTTGGTTTTCCCATTGATTCCCTCCATCAATAATAGTATAGAGCATGTAAAGTGTACTTTTTTAGTTGTTTAAAATCTTGAATGAACGTTTTGTTGTTTCTTAAGAAGATATTTTATGTTACTCTTCATTTCCAGGCGACATCCTTATGTTCCTCACGGGCCAAGAGGAAATCGAGGAGGCCTGCAAGCGCATCAAGCGCGAGATCGACAATCTCGGCTCGGAGATCGGCGAGCTGAAGTGCATTCCCCTTTACTCTACGCTGCCTCCAAACTTGCAGCAGCGCATCTTCGAGGCGGCCCCACCGCCGAATGCCAATGGCGCCATCGGACGCAAGGTGGTGGTGTCCACCAACATCGCCGAGACCTCGCTAACCATTGACGGCGTGGTCTTCGTCATCGACCCAGGCTTCGCCAAGCAGAAGGTCTACAATCCCCGCATCCGAGTGGAGAGTCTCCTCGTATCGCCCATCTCGAAGGCCTCGGCCCAGCAGCGTGCAGGTCGTGCTGGACGTACGCGTCCAGGAAAGTGCTTCCGCCTGTACACGGAGAAGGCCTTTAAGAACGAAATGCAGGACAACACCTATCCCGAGATCTTGCGCTCCAATTTGGGTAACATCAACATCCTCGTCAACGTCCAGCGATTCCCAATTAATGTTTCATTATTGTTTCCAGGCACTGTGGTCCTGCAGCTCAAGAAGCTGGGCATCGACGACCTGGTACACTTTGACTTCATGGACCCACCTGCTCCAGAGACCTTGATGCGAGCCCTGGAGCTGCTTAACTATCTGGCCGCCCTCGACGATGACGGCAATCTGACGGACCTCGGCGCCGTCATGTCCGAGTTCCCCTTGGATCCGCAGCTGGCCAAGATGCTGATTGCCAGCTGCCAGCACAACTGCTCCAACGAGATACTTTCCATAACGGCCATGCTGTCGGGTGAGATAACACAAAAAATAAAACCTAAAAATGTCTTCGGTTAAGTTGAGGAAAGTTCTAGGACTTGCATTTATAAGCGGGATTTATGTTTTACGACTGTCACTTATGTCACACAAAATTCTTCTAAAATTTAACTTAAATTCCATTTCCCTTGCCCGGCTGGCAAATATTAATTTAGTTCGTTAACATTTGTATTGTGACTTTCTAAGTGGCAACCGTGATCCTTTTGTTCCTTTTTAAATTGAATATCTCTGAAAGTTTTGAGGTACACTCTATCGTTAGTCTTAATCGGACGACCCAAACTCAACGTGGACAGATTTAAGTCATTTCTTAAGCAACAATGCAAAGAAAAAAGTTTGTCAATTTATTTGTTCTTTGCATTCTACTCTAAAAGACAAGTTGCACATGCGTTTGAAAGCCCAAGTCATAGCTCATCCTTCGAATGGAACGATGAGTGGCCTTTTTGTCTCACAGTTTGAGCCTTACAAATACCAGAACGCACTTGCAACTCACAAATGCAACCAATCTTTGAATCAAACCTCTAGATTGCCTAGCTGATACAAAGTAAGCACAATCTATTTGTTTATGTAAAAAAAAAATTGTTATGAACTTGCGCTTAATCGAAACCAAACCAATTCAAACGTGCCAAAGTGCCACAATGCTTCGTGCGTCCCAACGAGGCCAAGAAAGCTGCCGACGAGGCCAAGATGCGATTCGCCCACATTGACGGGGACCACCTGACCTTGCTGAACGTCTATCACGCCTTCAAGCAGAGTGAGTAAACAACAAGCGGCTTCGCCATGCCGGAACTTAAACTACTTCGCTGTTTTGCATCGCCATTTCAGGCAGTGAGGATCCCAACTGGTGTTACGAGAACTTCATCAACTTCCGGTCGCTGAAGAGCGCGGACAATGTGCGCCAGCAGCTTGCCAGGATTATGGACCGCTTCAACCTGCGGCGCACCAGCACCGAGTTCACCTCGAAGGACTACTATGTCAACATACGGAAGGCCCTCGTGCAGGGCTTCTTCATGCAGGTGGCCCATCTGGAGCGCACCGGCCACTACCTGACCATCAAGGACAACCAGAACGTGCAGCTGCATCCGTCGACGTGTCTGGACCACAAGCCCGACTGGGTAATCTACAATGAGTTTGTGCTGACCACCAAGAACTACATTCGCACAGTGACGGATGTGAAGCGTAAGTGTTCTAGTTTGTTCTAGTTTAGTATTACTAAAACGAGTTGTTAACCATTGATTTGCATTTCAGCTGAATGGTTGCTCAGCCTGGCGCCACAATACTATGACCTGAACAACTTCCCGCAGTGTGAGGCAAAACGGCAGCTGGAGTTGCTGCAGCAGCGGATGGAGACCAAGCAATACCAAAAGGGATTCTAGAGGGTTTCCCAGGGAACGGCTAGGTGTAATCGCGATTGAGAGGGGATCATGGATATGGGTGTGTGAACTTTATAAAGTTCAGAGATAACTGTTCTGAAAAAGATAAACGTTTCGCTTTTTATTGTTTGCTAAACTAAAACATAAGCACATAGACACTTCAACAGATCAATAATATCCAACAACTCCGTTTAGTGAATAGTGTTAATAAAAAAAGCCACTTTTTATATGTCTAAGATCTGCTTCCATGTCCTAGCCGTTGGTCCGTTGAAACTGAATGAGTATCACGAGGTAGGTTGCTATGGCCGACGCGAACTGTAGTAAAGTAAAGTATTAGTTTTGCTATAAGATTACACATGCCAAGGGTTGTTACCGATGTTAGGATGGTGCGGTTGACGCGACACAATCCGCAGGCTGAGAAGTCGGCGTCGACCACCAGCAGCTGCTGCCAAAACTTCTTCACCGCTTCCGCGAGGATTGGCTCGTGCACCTTCCGCTCGATCTCACAGACAATCTGAATGGTCTTGCGCGACTCTCGGGCCGCCAGGTGACACGGCTCCACCACCATGAGCAGTCGCAGGAAGTGGAAGCATATCCAGAGCATCTGCACCCACAGGTAGCCGTTGTCCCGCTTACTGAGCAGTTCCAGGAACAGGAAGTAGGCGGTGGCCACCAGATGCAGCAGACAAGAGACCAGGATGAACAGCACCGCCACGCCGAAGGAGCTGTCAAAGGAGGAGAACAATGAGGAGCAGCAGGCACAGGACGTGGCTAACTATACTTGGACAGGAGCAGCACACACTTCCCCAGCGACTCGTGACTGTCGGCCAGTGACTTGAGGAGCAGCCCCTTGTTCTTGGCTGGAAAATAACCCAATTTGAGTAACTCCACGTTGAGGATTAGACTGTGGGAGGCTGCCTTGTCACCTGCGGATTCGCTCGGCAGAGTCTCGCTGTTCAGCTTCGTCAGACTCGCGTGCAACGCCGATGGCATCGCTAGACGATTCATGCTGATGTTCTTCACCGTGCTGACTTTGTGCGGCTTGAATGCACTTGAAGCATTGTTCTCTGCGTGGTTGGTTAATCCATAATCAAGGATCCTACAAGTCTTAGACACCACTACTCACCACTCAGGAAACTGCTTGAGAGCATCCGGTTTAGGCGTCCGAAACGCCTGCCCAGTCCGTAGGCGGTGTTTGCAAAGTTAACTTGCAATCCCGTGAGGATGAAGTAGAGACTGTAGAATGGAATATACCAGTGCACATTCAGCTCTGTGCGTTGTAGGAAAAGGAATTGGTGGAAACATGAACATGGCTGTATTATTGTTACTATTTGAGGGCTATAATTTTAAGGCGATTGCCGATCTTTGCGCTGTCTAATTCATATGCCATCTTTAGTCTTTTGTCCGAATTTAAGTGAAAACTCCCGTCTCCTAAGCCAGTCTACTCAACGGACAGTCCTGAAAGTGTTCCAGGCTGTGTGGTGATATACTGCGCAGAGACCCTGTGCAGACCACTACATAATTTGATTACCATATCCCTTGTAACCTCTCACTACGCACCTTTTTGGAAGGAGTCATTTGTTATTCCCATTCACAAAAAGGAGAATAAACTAAATGCAAGCTATTATAGAGGTATCTTCAAGTGGTCCGCTATCCCCAAGCTTTTTGAAAACATTTTTACCCCACGTTTATCCCCGTGCCAACACGGGTTTGTAAGACGCAGGTCTACGACGACAAACCTCTTGGAACTAACGTCTTTCGTTATAAATAGCTTCAGAAATAACCTTCAAACTGACGATGTTTACGCCGATTTTAGAGCTTTTGATTATGTAAATCACTCTTTTCTAGTTAGAAGTTAGACTTATTAGGGTTTTCAAATGATCTTCTAACATGGATTTTGAGTTGTATGAGTGGTAGGACCCAACGAGTCCTCATTAATAGCTCTGTCTCTAAAGTTATCCATGTTACCTCAGGCGCCCCACAAGGGAGCCACCCACAAAGTCACGTGACCTCATGTACGCATATGACGTTAAGTTATGCCTGAACATAGCGATGTTTTCCTCTGTTCAGATCTACAAACGGACCTTGATGTTTTTCAAACATGGAGTTCTGTAAATCTATTGGACTTAAATAGCACTAATGCAAAGTAATGACATATTATCGGGTCAACCCTCAATACGCCACGTATACCTTAGGTGGTTGTGAGTTGAACAGACTTAGACATATTGATGAATCTGGCGGCGGCCTTTTGGACCCAAAACTAAAGTTTTCTGACCATTTTATTTCCATGGGAAATAAATCCAGGGGAGTGCTTTGATTTATAAAAAATTTCAAGATACCTATGGCACAAAGACTTTGTTCAGTTCATTAGTTAGTCCAATCCTGGACTAGTTTGGAGTCCCCAATATAGTGTACATATAGACCGGATAGAATCTGTGCAAAAGAATTTTTTACTACGTGCTCTACTGGACCTTAATTGGGATGCAATCCTAATATTACCATCTTACCCTAGAGACTTCTTCTAATTAATTTACCAAATTAAGCAAATTCGGAAACTTATTCACGCCAAACTGGAGAGTCTCGAGTTACTCTGTGCCTAATATAATTACTAGGAACTATGTTCCTCTTATTTTAAACCATTGTTATGCAGTATTTCGGCTACTATTTTTGGTACTATTTTTCTACGTCTTATGGAAAAGGAGTGGTGGATGTCATAGAACCCGTAATAAAAAGAAAAGTTTTGCAAGTCCACTGGATTTTTATAACCCTCACTAAAGTAAAAGGGTATGTTGTATCCGTAGAAAAGTTTTTAACAGGTAGATGGAAAGATTCTAGTTATGCCTACATAGCCTAGGTTTATTTTAAAATGGGGCCCCGCCTACTCTAACGCCCACAAATCGCGAAAGTCTGTCATAGAATGACATGACATGTTTATTAGTTCAATATATATTGAGTAATAAACAAATTTTTCAAATCGAACCTTTTTTTTTAAGTTGTTAGCTAAAATGTGCACAAAAAGGTGCAATGCATATAGATGTTTTAAAGAATATTTAATATTTGCATTAGCTGCACGGGTATTATAACTTCTGCTTGCCGAAGTTTGCTTCCTTTCTTGTTTAAATTTTAAACTACTTTGTCGCGTCCCTGGAAGCAACAAGAATTTTTTTTTCAATATATACAAAAATTAGGCACAAATCCTTAAAGGATTTTTCAAACGGTTCTATTAAGTGCAAACTCGCCCATTAAAATTCTGCTACGGTGTGTTTTTAAAAAATAAAAATATAATTTTCAGTTCGCCTTTAGGTAATATTTTAAGCACAAATGTTTTCCCCTTTTTAAGCTTAAAACTCTAGAACCCATAGTAAACCGAAGTTTATTCCTTACTTTTGAAAAGGAAATCGTAACCTACCCGTATCCGACTGCGCTATGTTCATATCCTGGGCAATGCGCATCCAGGTTCCCACATCCAGGCCGACCAGAAGGGATATGGCGACCAAGGAGACCGCGGCCATGGACAAGGCTCGCCACCGGTCCCTCCTGAAGTTGTTGAAGGCATTCAAAGTGTTGTCGATCTAAGTGGGGGTCAGAGAGTTTAGAGAGGTATTGAAGGGCGGGCCATTTCAATCCCTTGACCTCACCCTGCTGAGTCGAGAATTGAGCTCGAGAGTGTCGTTCAGGCTAAAAAGGCCACAGTAAACACCCGATACGATGGCCATGACCACCACTGAAACGTCCAGGGCCGTCACAACCTTGGATGTTGCCGACTTCATTCTAAAAGATGCACTTTTGATTTGTGGTTGGTTTTGTTTGCAGTTTGTCAGAGCAAATATTTTGTCAAGATCAAATGTGTTTGGAAGGGAGCAAAGGTGATGATTAGATAGAGAAAAATTTAGGTAAGCAAACCCACATAAGTAATCAGAATAATGGCACTGTTCATCCAATTTATTTGATTTTTATACCCTTGCAGAGGGTATTATAATTTCAGTTAGACTCTATAAAGTATATATATTCTTGATCAGCATTACTAGGAGAGTCGATCTAGCCATGTCCGTCTGTCCGTTCGTCTGTCCGTCCGTTTATACGCAAACTAGTCCCTCAGTTTTAAACCTATCTGCTTGAAACTTTCACAAAAGTTGTCTTTCTATTGCAGGTAGTATATAAGTCGGAACGAGCCGGATCGGACGACTACAGCATATAGCTATAAATAAAAAGTCCCTTTTATACTCTTTCTGTCAGAAGTTTGCAACGCAGTAAAGGAGACATCTCCGACCTTATAAAGTATATATTTTCGTCCTATTGTAGTTAATATATAAGTCGGAACAAGCCGAATGGGACGATTATATCATATAGCTCCCATCAGAAAAAAAAGAAAAAAATTATAACTGCAGTTTTTTATGTATTTTTTGTCAATTCTTTAACCAATAGTAATGGTTTAACATTTCAGAATTACGGTTTTTTGTTTTCACGGCTTTATTTTATTAAAATCGACCGACTATAACCTATAGCTCCCATAAAAACAAAAAAAAATTTCAAAAAATTTGTTTGGGCATAGTAATGGCTTAATAATTTAGTAATACGCTTTTAATTTTATTAACATCAGAAAACGAAATCATATGGCTGCCATAGGAACTAACAAATAGTTGAGCTAAAAATCATTGTAATAATTATATGTAATTTTGAGAATGTTGAAAAGAAAATTATATTTTTATAATATCTGCAAGGGTATATAAACTTCGGCTTGCCGAAGTTGGCTTCTTTTCATGTTAGGTATGACTTAACGATTTTGTTTTACCTTAAAAGAAAATTAGTAGAGCAATTACTTTGATTAAGTTAAGAAAAATCTATATTTTGAAGAGTAATCGACCTACGGAACCGAAGTTAAGTGAAAAGAAAGACATTCTCATATAATGAGCCTACAAGCTGTATCAGTTTAAATTTTAAATGCCATTATTTTGAGACCTGTGAGTGGGACGAACAGCAAACAGATTTGTAACAGGAACGACACAGGACTAAGGACTTTATAAGTAGTAAACATAAGTAAAGTGGATTAAATTCCGGCAGCAAGGCGGGAGTACTTACCGCACGGGTATTTCGGAATTGGCATCGAACAGTAGTCCCCGGTAGGTGAGAAAAACTAAGAGGAGTTCGACAGCTATCACTCGGAAGGAGTTACCCCAATTGGGACCACTCACCCATTACCACCGTTAAGGTGGCCGAGTATATTGTGAATAGCCAGCTGCGAGCGATTTCCACTTGGCCCTTAGAATTCCGGGACGTGGCATATGGAGCCAGGGCCAGAACTTTGCTGATGTAGAAGATGCCGATGCTGGGCTGTGATATTTCCATCGTGGCTTTGAACTGGGGACACTCGCAGTACGAACTCCGGGCGAGAACTGTTCTCGAGTGGCCAAATACACGGACTTAAATTGCAAAACGCCATATTCGACACCGAACAAATAATGCGCTCCCATATTTGACTATTATTAGTGGCCAGCCACCACCCCCGTGTTCGCAGGACCCTCGCAGACCGTCTGGACAAACACCCCATGTGCGCGTGGGTAGCACACACGCTTATCAAAAAGCTCGGCAGTTCGCGATGTAAATAATAATTAGCGTGTGAAAATACCAATCCGGCAAGGACACAGGAGCCAATTATTTTTGGGGCCTGAGTTGACAGCTGCAGCAGCTGCGACAGGTGCACACAACACCGGTGAATGAGGTCCACAGCCCAATTGTTTGGCAACTTCGCATTTACTTTATTGACTCTTTTTTTGGAGGCTCCCCTCGTCGGTTCAGTTGTGTTGCCGGCAATTAAGGAACAGTGATGCACATTTAACAAAATTAAAAAGACTAACTGCCAGCCAATCTAGACGACGTGGGCATTGAAGATCTCGATCCAGTAGCCGTCGGGGTCCTTGATAAAGGCCAGTCCCTTCATGCGGCCATCGTCGGGCTTCTTCACGAAATCAACGCCCAGTTCCTGGAAGCTGCAGAACAAGATAATTGGAGGAATGACACTTTGTTTTGGTCACTACTTACCGCTGGCAGGCGGCGTACACATCGGGTACCATGAGTCCAATGTGCCCAAAGCCACGGGGATCGCTGTTGCCGGTGTGGTAGCTCTGATCCGGGTCGCTCTCAGTGCCCCAGTTGCTAAGGGTAATCACAAACTAGTCAGTAAATGAATCGCCAATATAACCTATCTTTAAATCAATCAAAAACACCTCTTAAAGAGATAAAAAATTGCGACATTGCACTTATCATCAAAATAACAAACAAGTGGCCATTACGACAACAAAGGGGCGTTCAAACCGAGATCGCTAGAGCTGATAGAAAAGGGGCCAATAAAGGAACGGACGGACTAATTCAAAATCCATACGAATCAAAATACTAAATACCAATTCCGTGCTAAGTAAGATAAGATTATTGCTTTCAAAATCGGTAAAGAGTCGGTAGTAGAAATGATGTGATAGATTATTATAGTACTCTAAATGGTTCATGCATATCATAGTTTGATCAACAATGATTTAAAATAAGAGGAATATAGGTCCTAGTAACTCAGTAACTCGGGACTCTCCACTTCTCCGTGATATCCGATATTAAATTTTATGATTAAAATGATTAAAAATGATTAGGCACTCTACTCTCGCTTTTTTATTGCAGCAGCCCAAAAAGAAAATTTAACATTTTTTAAAATTAATATACAATTTCATGTAATAATTTAAATTTAAATATTGTATTTAGACCAAGTATATTAATGTAATCGGAAAATTGCATGCAGGTAGCTTTAAAACGGACGGACGGGCGAACTTGACTAGATCGACTCTGATAAAGAATATATACACTTTATAGGGACAAAAATGTTTCCTTCACAGCTTTGAAAACTTCTGACTGAAGTTATAAAGCCTTCTGAACAGTTTTAATAAGTATTTTTTTTGACAAGATTAAGTATTGTATTTTGGAAAAGGTTGCAAATCGGTTAAAAAGGTTGAGCATTTTGCCAAACCTCGCCTAACCACTAAAATTTTCTAAATTTTTGTTTTCTCCGCTCAATTTTCGGAATCAATTTGTTATTATAAAGTCTTGGTATGCACATAATTTTCTTTTAGCGACACCTTTCGATTGAAGTATAACTTCTTATGGTCGGTTACCGCCGATCATAGTGATAAAAACACCATCTGGATATTCCCGACACGTCTAAATCTCTGAATTGCTGAATATTCAGCATCAATATAGTCAAATTCGGTCAGCTGCTTATACAGTAATTCCAACTTGCTAAAATTTCAGCAGTGAAACAATAATATATTTTAAATTAATTATTTGCATACTTCTTATAAAGGTTAAAAAGATCTTTTATTGTGTTAAAAAATTTAAAAAATATATTTTGAGTTTAATTTTCTTTGACTTGCAATTTATATAATTTGAAAGTAAACTTTTTTTGATTTATTAATACCTACGTAGTTTTTTTTTAACTACCATGCATCAAAGTCAATGGTTATTTTGGAAAAAATAGCTTCCCCAACATATAATAAAGTGCCTTAAGCTGGCAGATTAGAAACTAGACTATGAGAATGACAAACTGGCCTACGTGATAACATAATGTGGCCCTCGTGCTTGCAGTGGAAAAGAGACCAATTGAAATCCAATTCACGGGCATTAAATACCGAAACAGTGCTTATTTACATATGTAGTATGTGTGTTTTAAAATACACTTACTGGGTCAGCTCGATGGTAGCCTTGCGGCTCAACGCCCAGCTGCGGCGCTCCTTGGGATCCTTGGGCACATCGGCAGGGTTCTCGTAGCTGCGGCGGATAAGAAGCCAATTAAGCTAATATCACCGGCGAATCTCACGCGTTTAGATAAGCCGGAGCAGTCGACTTACCCCATGAAGTAAAGCGAGAACTTGGCCTCGGGGAAGTCCAGTTTCACCAGCAAGGTCATGCCGAGGACGCCCGTGTAGAAGGGCAGCGACCGGCGCGGGTCCTTGATGCGGTACATGGTCTGTTGGAACAGGAAGTCCTGCATCGACAGTGGGTTAGTGGCACTCTAAGGTGCGGCGCTGGTCCACTTGGGAGTGACTCACCTTGGTGGACGCCTCCGGCTTCTGGCACAGCTCGTCGGCTTCGGCATTGCTGAGTCCTGTAACGTCACCCATTTCGACGATTTTTGCCAATTAATTAGCACCTGTTGATACAACGCAATCCGCGAGGAACTTATCAGTGTGACCGTTGGTCGACCGGTAAAACATACCAACTGGCACCGGAAAATGTACTAAAAATTAAATGCGCCAGAGATGTAGAATACTTCCGAAAGCCGACTCTTTTACACCATCGAAGTAATCAAAATTGGATCATCAGGACTATTTAAAATAAAAGCATTTACTTTAAATTTTTTCGCACAATAGAACTTAAGCGGACGCATTATTTCTGTTCTGCGAAACCAATGGTGTATTCAATATTTTAATCTTCGCTCTGAACTGTAAGTCGACGAATTGAGTATATGATATATGTAATATGAAAAATTTAAAAAAACCGTCTTTTACCAATAATATCTTACCAATATTCAAGGTCATAACCTCACTATTAACTTTGAAATATAAAAACTTTATTTTTAAATAATACCAGTCTAAAAATTCGTCTTTAAAATGTCAAATCCATTTGCACAAAATTGACAAAGATAAGATAATCCCGACGAATGTTTAGTGTGACTTAAAGGTTTTAATGTTTTTTTCTTAAAATGGCATTTTTGAATTTGTGACCAAAATAACGTAAGCCAATATTTCAAAAATTTGGCAAGCTTTTTAAATACAAAGAAATTAAGTAATTAATATTTCTATAAAAAGTTAAAATTTTATAACCCAAACAACGATTTTTAAAGTGAAAATCGAAACATCAATTTTGATTAAAGACTCTGTATAAGCTAAGTTAACTAATCCTCTTACGTTTTCTGTTTCAATTATCCAGTTTAATACAATTTTGTCACCGCAAAACAAAGAAAACGGAAATTTACTAGCAGATATTTTTTAAACAATATTACATATTATTTTGAATTCAAAAATTACTAAAATGTATTTAATACATGCACTTTTAGATAATGTACTCACATTGATCGTTTAAAACAGTTTGAAAGTTTTCGTTAAAATTTTTTTTTAACATATCCCGTTTTTGATGCAACTGTGGAGGTACCCCTTTTGGAAAAACGATGTTTTTATTTTAGAACCCTGTGTTCTAATCGTTGACTTAATTTTCGCTAAGTTTTCCTTAAACGTACCTCATCTATCCTTCCAAAAAAAATATATATTTAAAACACATTTAGTAGTTTTATTTGATTTGTTGACTGTTTAATGGTCGGTATTAGAACTAATTTAACTGAAAGTAATATTCTTGTAGTTTTTGTATATAAAGTCGTGTACATGCATGTTTGTATATAATATATATATATTTGCTTACCAATTAGACTAAGTTACTTGCTTGATTTCATTGTGATCTTAGGCATTTTTGGATTTTTTATAGAATTAGTTATATAATTAGTTCTAGATTCTTTGCATATGTATATTGTGCTTATGATTATCTGAATCATTTGTTGTTTTCGTTAAGTTAATGTTTATTTGTTTGTAATTGTTAGGTGTTGGTATTGATGCTCAATTGTGGTGCGCAAAAGAGTGAATTTCTCAAAAAACACCTCCTCGCCCGAAAAACAATTTAATCCTAGACATATTTTAATGTAGAATGTACAAAAAATAATTGGTATTATCTCCATTTCGATCTGACTGTTTCTCAGATATTGGTCGTTTTTTCGTGGATGGTACTTCATAAATACAATTCATTGTTGTTTTGGCAAATCAAATAGTGATAATGTTAGTAAGTGTGTTTCTGGACTTCGTGCACGCTCACATTTGGAAGGAGTTGTGTTTTGAGTGAGTAAATTATACTGCTCAGCATTGTAAGAAATCTTTGGAGTATGTGGGGGAAACATAAAACAATAATGGTTTTCACCAGGCCGGTTCTTTCGATTCACATTTATTTTCTTTCGTTGCTTTTAACTATTGCAAGCTCATAACAAAATCGTAATAATATGTATTAAAAAATAATTAAAGAACTACAAATAAATTCAAATAAAACATGAGCTAAAAACATAAATGTCTTCATACCGCACAAATATGTAACTAATAAAGATAAGGGGCTAAAATACATTCGTGATAAATATAGCTAACAAATTAATCAAAAATGAACATTTAAATAGGTTTTTTGTTTTTGAAAATTTTAAATAAATTGCCAACGATAAATTTAAGCTTGACTACAAAAGAGCGAAATAAGGGAAAACAATATAAAACTTGAAAATATTATTTGAAAAAGTTTCTTTTCGCTTTTGGTATCTGAATATTTTAAAATGATTATACGGCTTAGATTTAAATGTGTAATTAATGGCAAAAATCTGCGTGGTCACTTTTTTCTTGAAAACTTAAAAATAATTTTTAAGATTTTCATTGTTCTTATTAAAAACTAAATAATTTCCGTAGTTGCTTCGTCTACATCGTCTATTTCTTCTGTTGGTTATTGTTGGTTTATATGTATTTGCGTGCGATCTTCTTTAGGACTTTCAACAGTTTTCACATAACCTTAATTTCATATTTAAAATTAATATATATTGACAAAGATAGGTTTAAGTTGTGATTTGTGTGTTTTTGATTTGATTTTTCTGTTCTTGATTTAATTTAATGTTTTCCAGCACATTTGGAAGGTCTAAAATTAATGTTTAAAATTAATTAATATATGTTTGTGTATATTGTGGTGTACAACTAAGAATTTATTTATAAAAATTTCACTAGCAAGTAAAATCACCCCTCAATAATTGGAAATTAATTACACGCATATAGGCAGAATATCATTAATTGTTGTTGCTCTTCTTGTCGTTGGTTTTGTCAAATAAAGGCGATTTAGATCAAACCTAAAGCAGCTAATCGTCATCATCGTCGGACGAATTTGACGACAATTGTAGATCGTTCTGTAGCAAATCGTTTGGAAAGCCACCATTGGACGCATAATTGCCGGACTGTTGCTTCTGCTGCTGGTGATGCTGTTGGTGATGCATCTGCTGCTGTTGTTGATGATTGCCGCCGTAGGCTGGTGATATGGATCCCAATCCCAAGTTGGGCAGCTGGTTCAGATGCTGCTGCGACATCTGCTGCTGCTGCTGCTGGTGGTGCTGGTTTTGATACACCTGCGCTGCCTGCTGCTGTTGTTGTTGGTGATGATGCTGCTCCGGTTCCGACTGCTGCCTTTGCATGGGGCGATCGTCCTCAGTGCTGTCGTCAGAGTCGCTGCCGCTGTCACTGTCGCTGGAATCCGACTCGGAGCTGGAGCTCGAGGCACTCAATGCGCCGCCAATTTGCTGCAAGTGGCCGAATCCCCAATTTAGGACTACTTCACACGGAATCTGACTGCAAACCTACCTGTTCCAAAGCGGCAGCCGCTTGCGCCACGGACTGCGAGGTCAGTTCATGCTCCCTGTTCGCGTCCAAGTCCATAGGCATGCTGTTGCCGTGGCCGTAGGCCGAAGGGCGCTGCAGGTGGTGCTGCTGTGGCGAGTGCCGCTGCTGCTGCTGCTGATGCTGCTGCTGTTGTGCGTGGTTGTGGCCGCCGTTGAAGCCACGTCCATAGCTCGATGGCTGTTGGTGGTGCTGCTGTTGCTGGGCCATCGGTGGACTTGCCCGGTGGTGCATCTGCTGGCGCTTGCCATGGCCGTGCTGGGGAGCCTGCCGCTGCTTGCCCATGTGCGACGACGAGGTCGTTGACCCGAAGTCCGGCTGGCCCGCCGCCGAACCGGTCGAGGAGCCTGAGGTATTCGCCTGCCCGCTGCTGTGCAGGGCCGCCCTCAGACCAAAGTCATCGTCGTCGGTGATCATGGGAATGCTCGGCAACGTCTGCTGTGCGTTGTTTGCATCCCAACTGAGAGGTTAAAAGCATATATTAGAAGTCCTCAAAATTAAGTTGGGGATAACATACGCTGGCGCAGATTGGGGGCTGCGGTGGACTGGCACTGGACGCGATGGTGAGCTCTGCTGCATGGGCGAATTGCGTGGCTTAAAGTCAACTGAAAATTATAAGGATACAAATTACCTTTAATTTATTCTAGTTTATATGCCAAACAGCAATTGCCCTCACAATGGTATTTCAGTAAGACTTATTTTTGTATAAATGCTAAACAGCTGTGAAAGTTTAAATTCTTTCAATTGCTCACACAATGTTTTTTTTAGTTAGTCTTATTTTTGGGTACTAGATTTTTATACCTAGGAAGTTTTCCAAAAGTTAGGGTAAGGTAAAAATGAAATTAAATTTTTTTAATACGTAAAGGAAAAAAAAGAAATGAACAAAATAAAAAAGGAACACTATACACTAGAATGCGCAGATCACATAAAAATATATAAAACATGTTCAAAAATATTCAAGAATAGAACATCAACTCAACAAAGAATACATATATCATATGTACTTCCTGCAATATTTGTCTAATTTAAACAAAAAAAAAAATGTCTTATATAATTAAAAAGATTCAGTTACCTATTTTAAGACAATTTAAACAATTTATCTAAGTCGCGAAGGACCTGTCTAAGATTAAGTGTGCCAGACTTACCAAACCTAACCCAATCAAAGTGAACTAAAACCTTTGAAGATTCTATGCAATAAACCTTCTTTGTTTTCCTGAACAATTATTTTATTACTTACTTATATTATTGCGACGGCTGCCCGTAGAAACCTTCGTCTTCGATGAGATTCGCATGGTGCTGTTCTCCATTTTGGGTGCCGATCCGGATCCGTGCCCGGAAACTGATATTGGTGCCCCTCCAGCTCCGTTGATGACCTGACTGTGTCCCATGTTGACGGGCACATTCTGAGCTGGCAGCAGGACTGGCTTGTTGGTTACTTCGCTTCTGCAGGTAGGAAAATAGTTGTTTAGTAGCTACTCAGAAATCAACTAGATGAAACCCACCTTGTCTTCTTCACTTGAATGTTGTGATGCAGCTTTTCTATTGTGATAGCGCCCGTCTCCTTGTCATAGATCATCAAGCACTCCTTTGCATACTCCCTTTGATTACCCTTATAAACTGTATGAGGCACACCGGAACTTTCTGCAAGATAAACGCAGTACAACAATTACTAAAAGCCAGTTTCATTCAAATGCTCAGGTAATACAAGTTTGTTGATTTTTGAAAACAAATTTGGCGATATTGTAGAGGCCAAGTTTTTGGTGGTATAAGTTTAAGTTTGTTCAAGATCTATCGATCCTTAAAAATGTTTTTAAATTGAACCATTATTTTATGAGTTATAAGGAAATTTATTTTAAAATTGATAAGCTAAGTAAAGAGTATATTATATATATATTTTTTTGTTGACTAATTCATTTAGAGTTCTGCATAAAAAAAGCTAGCCAAAATGTTATAAATTAGTTTTTTGGGTCCATAAGTCTGTTTCTTTTGTTTTAAATAACTAAATCGATAAACACTATTTTTTAATGAATTTATTGTTTTGGAAGAAAGTGTATATAAAATTAAGTGATAGTGAAAGCATTTTTCCCAAAAATTTCTTGGTTTTGAAAGTCAAGCATAATTAAAGACGAAAAACAGGTTAGTGGAAATGATCTCATTTATTTTTCGAAATAAATATATTCCAAAAGTTCAAAGTGAGGAAGTTAAAAAATCGTATCAACATCGATATCTATCTTAAGTCAAAATTTAACCGTTCCTAAAGAAAGAAATGATAGCATTTATGTTCTGAGTTTAAAGGTAATATGGACCCAATTGATTAAATGTAGCGATTGCTTGTCCAAGTATTTATATAGGCAGACGTGTACTTAAGGTTTAGTGCTTTTTAAACAATTCGCAATGCAGCTTTAGTTCACTAAAAATGTATTTCCTTTTCGGAAATTTGCATTTATTTTGTATTATTTTTTAATCGGATTTATATCATTTCGGGAACACATATATGCATATGCATATATAGAATATGATAAATTTAGAAACCATTTTAAGAAAAAGATTTAATTTATTTAAACTAACTACAATGTTGTTTGCAAATGGAGTAGCAATAAAATTTCGGTAAAGGATAAAAAACACAAAAACCAAATGCTTGTCAAACTGTTTGAATCCGAACAGGAAACTCAAAAAGTCCAGGATTAGATACGCAATTTTATTGAAAGGTTCCCAAAGGAACAATCGGAAAAATAAATTTAAAAAAATCATAATGCCGCTGTTTTTCAATTTATTTTAATACTCCGAAAAATAGTCATGGTTTTCTTTATTTCTTGATCAAACAAAAACGACTATTATCGAGGTGAGACTGAAGAGACGACTTTATCTTCAACTCCAAAAATACTACATTTTATGATGTTTATTATAAAAAAGGCCGTCCAAATCTTGTTTATCGAATATCTTTTGAACGGAGGATCGGATTGAGATGATTGAGTGTCGTTTGAAGCGTGTTTACAACGCGAGAAAGTTGGACTTCTTAATCTACCAGCCCCAACAGCTCCAATATTCGAAATATTTTCATTCGCACTTTCCTTTATTAAGATATTTAATATATAGTTACAGAACTATGCGTACCGATTCATTTGACTAAGCTAATTCATTTGTGCAGCTAAAAACACTCTAGTAGTACCGGTTATATAAATGTATTACACTTAAGAAGATTGGTTGTTTGATTAGATTGGTTTTCAAGCATAGCATACCATTATGATTCAGTTCTCGTTTAAAATAAATTAGGTAAGGTACAAGTGATTTGTTTTTTGGATGCAAGTGCATATATTGTATAAGTTGCTTTAAAACTATTCAGATGAGCTGTTATTGCTTTTAATATGTAAGTCTTTCAAAAACGTTTTTTGAGGAACTGTCAAAAAACATTTGTATCAAAGATTGCGAGCCAATATTTAATGTTAGACTAGTTTGCATCGTCAAAAGTATAATCGTATATACTTTTCTTGGCATCTAGGTTTGATTGGCGTTCAGCTGAGCAGTTCGCAGGATCATCTCAAATTAAAGAAACTTACATCGGATCTGATAAGCGCCATTGCTGAAGCAAATTCTGGAAAAAAGTATGGATCCCAATGGGTGCCGTCTCTGGGAAAAGCTCTCGAAGAGGTCTACACCACATCGTCACGACGATGCTTCTTGTTTAGGTCACTAACTAAGAGAGTAGAAACATTGTGCCCCAAGCCGCCCACGTATCTACCCTCATGTTACCCATGCGGAAAACCAAAACCAAAACCACCACCGCCTCCACCATCACGAGGTAAAGCTCCAGGATTTCATCCCCCGCCCCACCCAACCTACGAGCTTGTATACCCCGATGGCACCTACTTTCCCTGGTGCTACATGCCGTTCTGCCCCACGATTTGCCAGCCACCCTACTGTTATCCTTGCGTACTACCCCATTGTGATCCCAAATGCGTACCGCCATGATGCTATCCACCATGCAAGCCGCCTGCCTGCCAGTTTCCGCCTACTTGTTGGCATCCCTGTTGTCCAAATCCCTGCGTGGCTCCCAGATGCATTCCCGTAAACTCAGAAATGAGTGTCACTCCGGGCTGTATGGCACCCTACTGCCCGCCGCCCATTGATTGTTCTCCTCCGTACTGCCCAAAAATTATTAAGCCTATGACTAACAAAAACACAAACATAATATCTCTAAGAACAGGCATGTGCCCCATGAGGGACATCGTGCGAAGAATTTCTAGTATGGGATGACCGCCAAATATCTCGAAATAAAGAGCACATCTCCAGTTAACGCTCATTTTTGTTTCATTTGAAATGTTCTGGGGACTTTAACAGGAATATCATTTTATGATGACACTTCGCTTATGGTGTTGTCTATGCAGTTCGGCAGATGGCGCCACCTAAACTTCTTATATAAGTCACTAATACTTAGTTTTAAGTCTGTTGGCTTAGTAACGGGCATCTAACAGTCGGGAAACTCGACTTTATCGTTATCTCTTGTTAAATACTCTTCTCATCTCAAAACTTAAATTAAATAAGTACATCAATATTGCAAAATATTAATGTCTTAAAATGAAATCAGTTTCCAACCAACAACAATACTTGGGCTTTATCCCACAGTTATCATACATATATGTAATGCATTTTTAGCACTTTCGACGGCTTTATAAAAAAATGGCTAGGAGGAACACAATCTTATTTGGTTTGTATCTGTAGATCATTCTTTTCAATTTAAAATGTACGTTAATAGCATTTATCATGCTATTTTTATAATTTATTGGGGGGTCTGCCTAAAACCGACACAAAACGCCACCAAGTGAAGTCTAAAATGCGGTTCGCTTTTCTAATAGTCCGTAAGAATCTTTTCACTACTGTCAGAGAACGTACTACCTTTAAAATAAAGTGGTGGTCCTACAGGTACACACTATAATGGCCCTAGTCACTCGTTTAAAGGAAATTAAAAGCAGAGTTTTGAATGCTTCTGGAACGGCCGTCAAGGAAGGCAGTTCAATGATGTTTAAGTTGGGATCGCTAGTGGAGACTTTTGCAAACAATAAGAAGTTAAGTTTATAGTTTAATAAAATTGACACATTTCAAAGTCCAAAAGGGTTGGCCCTAAACTCATTAATAAATTATAAAGCAAGCCACGCCTGTTTTTTGGGTGGTTCCCTAGAATTGCAGAAAAAACTTCAATCTTGTATTTTAACATGATAAATTTTCAACATAAAACCTTTGTAAATCGATCAATTGGTCATATGTCAACCTGTCGACTTGTCTTCTTATCAATTTGTTATTGATAGAAATATCAATATTATAGTTCGCTAAACTTTTGTTTTAAGTATTTCATTTAATATTATACAGTCTATTAGAATAAAGTGTTTCTTGATTTCATATTGGAAAACTTAAATGCTTTCAGCTCGGACATCTGAGCACCAGAAAAGCAAATCCTAGTCAGCAGTATTTTGGACTGCTTAAAATAATGTAAATAAGCGAAAACTCTATGAAGTGTTGGTATGTCGGATTAAATTCGCTGTTCTTCTCTATCAAACATGCTATCAGATTGACTGTGGTTGTGAGTGCACGATATGGTTATCTTTGTTGTGGTTACTGAAGTTCGCCAAAAGTGTGTAGAAATTGATAGGTTAAATGGAATGCCTGGCTTTGCCCATGCCAAACTGTAAACTAGTTCGGCATATTGTGCGCTTTCGGCTGCACCCGTCTGATTCCAAGGGAGTGGAGGAGGGGAACAAATGGGGCAGTTACCGAACCACTTTCAGACCCACACTTGACCAAATTCCGCTGTTATTGTCGTCGCCGCCGCCGCCAAAACTCTTTGGCGACTCGTCGCTGGCAATCAACGGAGCGTTACACAAGCCAAGTCAGCCGCAATGAGGTCCAACAACAGCCCAACCGCAGTCGTCAGGGCCCAGACGATGTCTGGCCACAAAGAGCATAGCGAAATACAAGTAGTACGAGTGTGGAGAAGCCGAGAGAAAAGACTTGAACGCTTGGCTGCATTCTGCCTGCTTGTAATTTGGTGTGTTTGCTCTAACGCTGGTCTCTATTCCACTCGTCAAGCAACTGCGATTTTTTTTTAGATCGAAAACTGCTATATTTTAATGATAACTGCAATTGGTTTTCCTTTTATTATAAATCCAAATATTGTCATTAAACCGTATATTCGGTCCAAATTAATCACATACAGCTAGCTGCGATTGCACACCAACTGCAACATTTAAAAGGGAAGTAGAGACAGCTCACCAGCGAATTTTTTTTTTTAGCAATTTTGCTAATAATTTTTAAATTATTTGTATGACATTGTTCGATACATACATTCCTACATAATTATTGGGGTTCTTTCGAGCTGCTAATCGATTGCCACTCGATATTCCTAGCTTCAATAATGTTGCTGATTTATTCATTTAATTCTGTAATTATTTAATAAAACATAGACTGATTTGTGCGACTAAACCTAATTTGATATTGTATAGAATCACGCGACCGCAAAAGCTTTTGCAGCTCCTAGCACAACTATGATATATTTTTATCATATTGATGTAACGTTAAAAGGGTTGAAGTTTGCAATTACAAATATGGATAATAATATCTTAATACCCAATGTAATTAAAATCTTAGTTTTATAACTTTATATGTTGTCTGCCCTCAAAAGGATTTTATGCCATATCTAGTGGACTTTTGAAAATGTTTTGTAAGCCTTGGTGACAACTTGAGCCACTTTCTCAGTGTATCAGAAACTTGACTTGAAGCACGTGTTTTTGATTGCTCTAAATCTGTTTTTAATTAAGCTTCTTGGGGAGTATTCCATAATTCGTTTAATGCATTTGCACAGGTGCACTCGACCAAACAGGTGCACTGCCAATAAGATCAGTTTTTCTCTGGGAAAGTCTAGCTATTTGGAGTTTGAGTGCTGACACACTGCTGGTTAAGTTAAATTATTTGAACTCGAATCACCATTTAGGCATTGGTTTAATAATTAATTGGTTTTGTCGTTATCCATGTTAATTTGGAGTTTAACATACAATAAACGAAAGAAACATTATTTGTAGAGACAAAGCGATATGAAAAAGTCACTGCTTATAAACTTTGGGTTGTATAATGAACATCGTTATCAAATTAATTTGCTCAGTTTAAATATTAATTTATGAACAATTTGATATAATTTTTAAATTTAAATTTTACATTGGCTTTGAAAGATGACATAGAAGTGAGCAAATGCATTGTAAACATCATCATTTTGGTGTTTCAGTATCATATTAAAATTTTGAAGGAGTTGATTTGTCCCCTTGCACACACTAAGTTAAACCGCTGGTGATCTTAAATCATCAAACTGATGATCAATTCTTCATATATGTATATAGAAAGGCGTTTCCACATCATGTGTAAACATATTTTTGTGAGTGCACTCACCTGAATTTGGCACGATAACAGTAACTTGATTGTTGGAGCCCACGTCCACGGATGCCATGCGGCTGGTGTCCACGCTCGCTGGCTTGAAGTCATCTGCAAGACGAGGCAATTGTGGGTGATTTCTGGCTGGGGGGGAATGGGAATCACCGCAGACAACACTTACATTTGATGGTGTGGAAGGCGGTGGAGGTGTTCTTCGGATTGAAGGTGGCACCCAGCTTCAGTTCCCGCACCTCCTCGCCGATGTTGAGGCGCTCGGCCAGGGAGTTCTTCTGTTTGGTCATCATCATCGCGTGGATATTGTTATTGGTCGGGTTCGGACTCTGGGTGTGGTAAGGCAGGTTGGTGGTGGCGCTTTGTGGGTGGTTATTGTAGCTGGAGTGGTTGTAATTGGCACTGGTGTGGTTTGACTTCTGATAGTTGTTGTTGTTGTTGTTGTTTTGGTTGGTGGTGCTGTTTTGATATGACTTCTCGGCCACGTCCGCCACAGCAAGGTAACGCTCCTCGACGGCGCCACCGCGTTGATGGATGTGGCCGCCGTGGACAGCAGATGAAGACGAGCTCCTGTCGCCCTCGCTCTGGTTGTGATTGTGGTTCTGGGTGCCGACAGACGATGCCTTGCGGTAGTTGCCGCCGTAGTGCTGGCTCGCAGACGCCTTGGCCTTGAGACGCTGCAGCTTGGTGGCCACGGACTTGGGTATTTTTACGGCCGTACTCGTCGCTCCACGTGCAGCTCTCCTTTGGAACGTTGCAAGACTTTGGCCACAAAGTATTGCACGTCGCAAAAGAAACCACGTTCCCGAGCGGAGGGTCAAAAAGTAAACGAAAGTGAAACAATAATAATTGGGGGATGGTGGGTTGCCCTTGGGGGACTTTCTTCTGCTTCCTCAGGGCGGCTGGTGCGTTTCGGTTGTTACATTTGTCATTGGATTTGGTTCTTTTCGATTCCCTTTCTCCGGGCTGACTTTTAAGACATTCTGGCTGGGCACTCAGAAGTGTCCCATATCTGCAAAGTATTATTTACTATTATTATTTTTTATTTGCAGCCATATGTTTGCAACGCACAAATACACACACGCACACACGTACACACACACACACAGACAAAGAAAGTCAGAGTTGCAGCGCTATAGAACACTGCGTATACACCTGCTGCTGCTTTTTGACACACATTTCTACTGCGCTTTCCGCTGCTTTTCACTGATTTCCAGCGATCCGATCCGTATTATTTTTAGCGACACACGTTTCACAGCTGACATGGGGGCAACTGGAAGGCAGCGGCTGAATTATGTGCGTGGATTTATGCCAGCTTCTGCGTTGAGACTGCACGAATTACTCTGCGAATTGGCACGCGAGCGTAATACGTAAGCAAATTAAAAAGTGAGCGGCTGCCAACGGAACGAAAGGGGGCGGAGGGCGGGGCGCGCACAGCTGAAAACAAGTTTGAAATAGCCGAAAAACAGCAACGCGAAGGTGAAATTTCCGAAAATCGAATTGAAACGTAGACGAAAAATATCAGTCCATATGTGTGTGCATTGTGGGTGTGTGTGTGCGTGTGCTGCGTTTTCCACGATTGCGCTTCAGACTAGGAAATGCCAATCGCTTTTCCGCCGTTCCAATCTCGCTTATATCAAACGCACTGCACTTATTTGCTGGTCGCTTTTACAATATTGCATTGTCTTACATTATTTACACCTCACGCTGTTGCTTCTCTTTTTAGTTTTTTACGCTTCAGTGTGGCCGTGTATACGAGAAATCCAGCGGAGAGACCATATGCCTATCGAAAGTGGAGAGACCGTAACTGTATCAATTAAAGGTGCGAAAGTTGGCTAGACTTATAGCACATACTCGAACCATTCATTTTGGAGGTTTCAGAACGCAATTTCGTAATTATTTCTTAACTCAAGCTGTGTTATATTGCAATTTTGTTGTTGTTAAGTTAATGATTTTTAATACTACTAAAAGCAGATGGTCTAACAAATGTAGAGTTTTATATGATTTGACATGAAAGATTTATATATTCTTTCAACTGTTAAGAATTAAATATTCCTTAAAACAACAACAACACCTATGCCTATATGTTTAACAACACCTCAATTATTCGACCATTCCTATGACAGCTATGTGATATCGTTTTCCGATTTTCAATAAAATTGAAAACGTAAATCCGAATTATGAAACCACTACTATGTCGAAAAGAATTAAAAAAAAATTGAAAGTTAGAGAAGCTAAAATTTGATGATCGTTTATTTTTATTTATTTTTTTTCAATATTCCGATTGTCTCCAAGGGAGCTTTATGATACAGTCGATTAACCATAACCTTATTATAAGCACTAAAAAACAGCAATGTTAAAACTTGAACATCCTTCGGAGAGGGTATTATAATTTCACTCAGAAGTTTGCAACGCAGTGAAGTAGACATTTCCGACCGTATAAATTATATATATAATCTTGGTCAGCATCAGAGTCGGACAGTCGAACTAGTCATGTCCGTCTGTCTGCCCGATTCGGCTCGTTTCGACTTATAAACTACATGCAATAGGAAGACAAATTTCGGGAAATTTTAAAAACTGAGAGACTAGTTTGCACAGAAACAAGCAGACGGACATGTACCATCCTAGTAATGTAATATATATACTTTATAGGGTCTGAAATGTCACTTTTACTGCGTTGCAAATATCTGATTGAAATTATAAAACGCTCTTCAAGGGTATAAAACAATGCGCCCCAAAAAAGGGCTACAAGGAATAAAGCAGCGCCATCTGGAGTTCAGGAATATTTATCTGCTGACGTTATTAACCATGTTGAACTTAATTTCGTAATAACTTAATAGCGTGTGAAATTGTTTTTTGATTTTGAAAATTGATTGTGTGTTGAGAGATGTTAATCGCATAAATATTTACGGCCACAGAACAGCGAAAGGCGAGTCTTGAATCAAGGGCGGTATACTAATACAGTAAGGATATGCTTCCTAATAAAGATGCAAGAGCTCGTCAATGTTTTTAAGATTAGTTAATACTGAAGTTTTTACGCCAAGAAATACTTCTTAAAGAATACATTTTATCTTTTTATCTTGAAAACCGAACATTAATGAAGCAGTAAGCTATTAGTTAAGATGGTAAGAAATAATAGAGTTTCAAGCATTAGTTAATTAATAAGAATTATTCATCTTTTATTTTTATTTTGCAAATAATACACTCAAAAATTTTTCTTAAACATAGAAATTTGCCTTTGAGTTTAGAAAATCGTCAATGATTTGGATTTTTTTCTGTATTAAAGAAAGAAGGTTTTTAAACTATAGTGCCAAATTTTTCTAAAACATCGAAATTATTTTCTATATTAAAAAAAAAGGGTTTCAAAAAAACTTTACACAAATCCCGTATAAGAATTCAAAGAGAAAAGTATGCAATAAAATTGCTTTTGCTAATTAGTCTTTGAAAGTCAACTCAGTAAAAATTAAAAATGTTCTGTTTTTTCTGTTTCCAAAAAAAAAAAAATATATAAACATATAAATATTTAGTAGACATGTCCATCCGTATGAACGTCGAGATCCCGGGAACTATAAAATTCAGAGATTTGGGATTTGGCCAAGCACACTCTAACGTCCACATATCGCAAAAGTCGGTAGAGTCACCCTGAGATATGGTAGATGCCAGTTTTTTATTTGTATATGTTTATTCGAATGAAGGAAGTAAACTTTGGCAAGTCGAAGTTTATATACACAGCGAGAATTACAACAATTTCTGAAATGAGATTGTACTTATTAAAAAAACAATACTTAAATTTAGCAAGTGTTAGTGTTAGTGCTCTTTTTTTTAGTTATGGTGGAAATCACATTCAATAAATTTTTCGTTCTTTTTTCTTTTTACACCCTTGCAGAGGGTATTATAATTTCAGTCAGAAGTTTGCAACGCAGTGAAGGAGACGTCTCCGACCCTATAAAGTATTCTTGATCAGCATCACTAGTAGAGTCGATCTAGCCATGTCCGTCTGTCCGTCCGTCTGTCAGTCTGCCCGTCTGTCCGTCCGTTTCTACGCAAACTAGTCTCTCAGTTTTAAAGCTATCTGCATGAAACTTGCAGGTAGTATATAAGTCGGAACGAGCTGAATCGGACGACTATAGCATATAGCTCCTATAGGAACAATCGAAAAAATAAATTTAAAAAAATTATAACTTTGCTGTTTTTTAATTTATTTTTTAGTTTTTCGACATATAGTAATGGTTAAATATTTCAGAATTACGGTTTAAATTTCTTCAAAATCGGACTAGTATATCATATAGCTCCCATACAAATAATAAAAATATATAAAATAACTATATAATAATTGAGCTGCAAATCATCATAGCTTCAATGTTTTTAGACATATACGCAGTAAATCATAATTTTAATGTTTTAAAAAATATTTAGTTTTTGCAATAGCTGCAAGGGTATATGAACTTCGGCTTGCCGAAGTTTGCTTCCTTTCTTGTTTAATTTTTTTTTAGTTCTTCGAGAAATAGTAATGATTAGCTATTTCACAATTACGGTTTAAATTTCATCAAAATTGGACGACTATATCATATAGCTCCCATAGAAACAATTGGAAAAATATATAAAAAAAATGATAACTTTGGTGTTTTTTTTATTTTTTTTTTTAGTTCTTCGAGATATAGTAATGGCTAACTATTTCAGAATTACGGTTTAAATTTCATCAAAATCGGACGACTATATCATATAGCTCCCATAGGAACAATCGGAAAAAAAAATACAAAAAAAGTTATAGCTTTGCTGTTTTTTAAATTTGTTTTTAGTTGTTCGAGATATAGTAATGGTTAACTATTTCGGTTTAAATTTCATCAAAATCGGACGACTATATCATATAGCTCCCATAGGAACAATCGGAAAAAAAATACAAAAAAGTTATAGCTTTGCTGTTTTTTAAATTTGTTTTTAGTTGTTCGAGATATAGTAATGGTTAACTATTTCGGTTTAAATTTCATCAAAATCGGACGACTATATCATATAGAAATAATAAAAATATCTAAAATAATTATCTAATAATTGAGCTGCAAATCATCATAGCTTCAATGTTTTAAACATATACGCAAGTAAATCATAATTTTAATGTTTTAAAAAATATTTAGTTTTTGCAATAGCTGCAAGGGTATATGAACTTCGGCTTGCCGAAGTTTGCTTCCTTTCTTGTTTAATTTTTTTTTAGTTCTTCGAGAAATAGTAATGATTAGCTATTTCACAATTACGGTTTAAATTTCATCAAAATTGGACGACTATATCATATAGCTCCCATAGAAACAATTGGAAAAATATATAAAAAAAATTATAACTTTGGTGTTTTTTTTATTTTTTTTTTTAGTTCTTCGAGATATAGTAATGGCTAACTATTTCAGAATTACGGTTTAAATTTCATCAAAATCGGACGACTATATCATATAGCTCCCATAGGAACAATCGGAAAAAAAAATACAAAAAAAGTTATAGCTTTGCTATTTTTTAAATTTGTTTTTAGTTGTTCGAGATATAGTAATGGTTAACTATTTCGGTTTAAATTTCATCAAAATCGGACGACTATATCATATAGCTCCCATAGGAACAATCGGAAAAAAAAATACAAAAAAAGTTATAGCTTTGCTGTTTTTTAAATTTGTTTTTAGTTGTTCGAGATATAGTAATGGTTAACTATTTCGGTTTAAATTTCATCAAAATCGGACGACTATATCATATAGAAATAATAAAAATATCTAAAATAATTATCTAATAATTGAGCTGCAAATCATCATAGCTTCAATGTTTTAAACATATACGCAAGTAAATCATAATTTTAATGTTTTCAAAAATATTTAGTTCTTGCAATAGCTGCAAGGGTATATGAACTTCGGCTTGCCGAAGTTTGCTTTCTTTCTTGTTTATTCTTGAATTATACTTTAACTGATTAAAATTGAACTTAAAGCGAGAATTTTCGGTCTTAAATTCTATACTCAGATTAAGTATAATGTACTTAATAAATTCTATGTGTATTTTTCCAGCTATTACACAAATTACATAATTCATAAAACGATTATATATTTTGATTTGTATATGAATGTACAGACAGACATGGTGGACGGACAGACGGAATGGCTAGATCGAGTGAGAACTTAACTTTGGCAAGCCAAAGTTAGTTAGTGCATTTGGCCAGATGACTGCTACAGGATTTAGCTGATCCATGAGCAAGAGTTTCAAACTGTTGTTGTATTATTTTTTTTAACAACGTTTTCCCAGCTCGGCCAGCAAATACCTAAGGGAATCGAAGTACTGAGAATAGCTCTAATTAATATCGCATCAGCGATTGTTGAGGCAAACCCAAACAAACAGAAGGCCGCATCCGCCCCCGCTCTTCACACCAGATCGTTTTTTTCTTGAGCCGCGATGGGAAACAACAACAGTAGCACACCCGCACACACTCAACCACTCACACACACACACTTTCAAGGTAGGGGCTTCCCCTCGAAGATCAGATCATCATTAACATTTACGCAAATCCTTGAGGCGCCGTCGCTGAGCTACTGTTTCCAGACTGAGATTCGGACTGAGCTAGGTCCCGAAGAAGGATGCGGATGCAGCTCCTTTATAGGGGCGTTAATTACTTGAGCGCTGTCTCTGCCTTTCGACCCGTAGATCAGGAGATCAGGTCTTTAAGATTTCGCCAAATGCCGAAATAATGCGCCTCATCGCATTTCCATTTCCATTTTCAATTCCATTTTCAATTCCATTTCCATTGCATTTTCCTTTTGATTCTCCTCCTAATCTGTC